CCCGGACAACATCAACATGGCCTTTAATTGATGCTAAATGAATAGGAAGTAAGCCATTGTTGTCCCTTGCAATAGCACCTGAACTGTGTCTTCCTAACAAGTACTGAACCTCTTCAAGATAGCCCAATCATGCAATCAAGTGAAGTGGAGTCCTTCCTTCATCTCTTAATTGAATGAACCAGGGTTCTGATTGCAATAAGGCATCTAAAACACCTGGGATTTTAAAATAAATTGAGAAACAAAAGTGCAAAAGCCAAAGAGAAATCAAGAATAAGTGTTAGAATTACGTCGGTTTGTTTTTAAAATGGCAGCATGAATAGGTGATTACCCTTTAAGTCTTTCATTTGTATTTTCAATCCCAACTGTATCACATAGAATATGCGTGACAAGTTCCAAAAACCCTACTTCAGCAGCTAGAAACAGAGCTGATTTCACTTCATTGTTCAGATAATATAACACTTACGGATCTACCGTGATCAAATGATAAGCTACAACTTGGTGACTGTTCATCAAGGCCTCGTGCAATGATAAGTTGCCCTTTTCATTTTTTACCCTCAAAAGCAGATTATCCCAATCAACATCTCTCTAAATTTTCCCACCATTTTTAGAACACATTTGAATCCCCAGAGCATATAAATCAACCAGATCAATTACTTCCTTTTTTTCTCTTTTTGTTAAGTACTCAATACAATTTACTTGATAGAATACTTCGAAGTAATCATCGTCAACATACAGAAGCACAAGAATTGCAAAAAGTCACGCCTACTAACCTCTGAAGCAACGAAAATTATTGACATTACTTCAAAGAGGCATAACAATCAAGTAAAACTGATACAAGGGAAGCCAAATACTCACCTGAGACCGAGGGAAGATATCAGCAAAAAGATTTTTGTACCACTTCACAGGCTGTCTCGACCTTGCCCGCAGGGAAGGATAGAAGAAACAGACTTTACCACAAATGGGTAAAACCCGCCTAGACATAACCCCCATTTTCCAAGGAACTGAATTCAAACCCCTACCCTGAAAAACCAAATCACAAATTCAAACCAAAATTCACCAAAACAACGCTGACCCAATTGACCAATTGAACAATAATTCAGAAGAATTCCCACAAATTTCATTTTTGTGGCAATTTAATGAATTGGACACAACAAAATTGCCAAAGAAAAGGTCAATAAACATATCAATTTTGCAAAATTCAAGCAAATTTATCAAAATCTAAATCATGCCCACCAATCCAAACAATACTAAAATTCATATACTGAACAATCCAACTGTTAAGATCGTGATCTAGATAAGCCTACCAACGAACGAACAAAATTGAGACAAAAAACAAAAAAGGGTCAAAATATTGATGAGTAAAGGAATGAAAAACTAAATAATTTCCATAAGAAGCTCTGGTTATCAATCCAAATAATAATAATTAACGTAAAGAAATTAAAAATTGAGTGAATACTCTTCCAAAGGACCTCTAATAGTATAAATCCTCTACCCACCAAACAAGCTGCCATATCTCCCCTCAATCAATCTTCTCCTTAGACTATGCTATGCCTCTTTATTGTGAATCTCAATAGCCATTTTCTAATATCGCCTTATTAAATAAGTCCAGATTCCTAATCCCAACGCCTTACTGAAACCTCACTACAAAAATAGATTTCCATTAACTACTATACAATCTTTAAATGCTTTCAATTATTAACTGATTTTTTGAAATTTAGCTGAAATTCCAACCAAACTGATAGACAATATAAGAAAGCCATTCTTTTCCAGAATGCCAATTTCACCAAATATTCTGAATTTATAGACAATTTTTTGCTATCTGAAACTTGATCAATTCAAATTCAATCAACCAATCTGAATCTAACTCATGTGAAACTTGAGTAAATTAGGAAAATTTTAAAGCGATGGTCCCAAACAATCAATTTAGCTATGATTTTCTACATAGAATTACAGCAATCTATTAAAAATTACAGCCAAAACAAGAAAACAGAGGCAACCTCTGAAAACCGTACAATTAACATACTAAGAAAATAAGGGCAGATGGAAGAACTCAAAAATCTTAGAACTCCATTTTTTTAAAATAATTTGGCACCTTAGACAACTCAACGACCCAAATAATAAATTCTTCACTTAAAATTGAGGCACCGCAAAATAACTACCTCACAATCCCTGTTTCAATCAACTCTATGCGAAAAAACTTGGGGACCTAAGTTACCAAGCTTAGTAACTCACAAGTATTCCTCCAAGATCCTCAGAAGAATATGCACAGACAAGTTTCCCTCTCTTTTCTTATACCTGGTGATTATTAAAGGAAGAAACAAAAATAAACAAATAAATAAATTTATAAAAATTAGAAAAATAACTCAAAACCGATCTAGCATTGATGTGCGCAACCATATTGACCTTCCTTAGGGTTGAGTAGACTTGACAACTGTATTAGTCTCTAAGGTGACATCGGTATCAACCTCTTGAACATCATCCTTTTCAACAGCTACAATATGCATACAAAGATGATCCTCATCAAACCATATAATGATATTAAGTGCAATATAAATTCAATTTTATCTTGATGTACCTTTATCCTTGATTTCTGCAGCTTTCTGAAAATATAAAAAGAAGAGTCAGAAACAGAAAAATGCAAGAAATTTTTTTTTAAAGCTCATTAAATCTAATTCGAAGGATAAATATGACAATTACACTTTCAATCTCTTGAGGATGCTGTCAAACTGTGATGTATCAAATGCCCTCATCTGCACCAATACCTATTGTAATTTTGAACAATTATGTCCCAGTACCTATTGAACTGTCAAATGTCATGAACTCCTTATGTATGAAAAACTCATCCCACAACAAGGTTAAGCTTATTAGCTCCTTTGATTCAGAAGACAATTAAAATAAATAAACTTTATGTTCTAGGCAACAAAACAGAGCATGAATTTGATGAATAAACAAAAAATCAGAGAAACGAAGAGCAACAACAGAAAAAAAAGAAGCTGCAATGTCCTGTTTGTTCTTAACTCTGACATATCCATTGATCCCTTGCTTCTCTTTCCCAAGGCCTTCGCCTTCTTCCCATCCCTACAACACAATAACATCTTCACACCATCAACACACATATTTACACATATATACAGATTAGAAACTTAAGATAACCACATAATTTGTTACAGAAAAGTAGCAGGAAAGTCAATTAGTTCTCTTTATAAAAGAAAATCAATTTAAGATGCTTCAAAATTTCCAAGATGTCCTATATGAAGGACAAAAAAATATAATACTTTCAAAACCTCCTCATAATTATAAAGTCCTATATGAAGGACCAAAAAAAATATAGTCCTTTTCTTGGTAAGGTTCGCCATCTCTACAAAGTCCGCTCCAAATCATCCGATTCAAGTGTTTAAGCTAGGTGTATGAAAGATTTTATCGTTCAATAATGGACCAAGAATGGAGGAATTTCCGAGGGCTAGGACCAACAATTTAGAAGGCAATGAAATGGGGGGAGAGGGTTTCTTGGCTGCGCAAAATCCCACAATTTCTTTATCTATATTATTCTTTAGAAAAAAATCATGCTACCCCACACCCATCAGTACTCTGCAATTTATTGAAGTGTCCTTGTAATAAGATAATCACACCAGCCTATGTTTTACTAGCAATTAAAAGAAAACAAAGAATATAAGCACACCAACCAATGTTCTGTTATCTATTAATTAAAAAAGACAAATAAATAAGCACACCCACCAGTGCTATATTATAAATTAAAATAAAACAAATAAATAAGCATACTATTTAAAGGCTCAAGGCGAACCAAGGCACTGAAGGTCTCTTTGGGGCCTAGGCACAAGGCGCAGGCTTTATTGAAGCAAGGCACACAATCTTAGTAAAAAATAAATAAATTAACATAGACTAATGATTCATAATGTAATGTGTAATTTCATGAATTAATTATTTGTAGGTTTTTTTTTTTTTTTTCTTCTAACAGAGACTCAAAACAAAGACAATAACATAATTGCAAAAAAAAAACACACACACACACACACAAAGCATGGAAGAGAAGCCCAAAAAAAAAAAATAGAGAAGAAGAAGAAGAAGAAAAATAAGACATGTGCTTGCTTATACAAACTACTGCCATTCTCATTTTTGCATTATTCCATGTATGAAGCAAAAAAGAAAACAGAGAAGCAAGAAAAAAAAAGATAGGAAAAAAAAATCAGCGTAGCAGCAAACGACAAAGAAGAAGAAGAAGAAGAAGAAGAAGAAGAAGAAGAAGAAGAAGAAGAAGAAGAAGAAGAAGAAGAAGAAGAAGAAGAAGAAGAAGAAGAAGAAGAAGAAGAAGAAGAAGAAGAAGATGTCCAGTAGGAGAGAGAAAGAGAGACTGAGTCAAAGAAAAAAAAAAACCAAAGCGAAGAAAAAGAAGAGAGAGAAAGGGTGAGAGAGATATTGAGTCGAAGAAGCAGGAAAAAAAAAATAGAGAGCAAAGAAGAAGAAGAAGAAGAGAGAAAGAGTCGAGACTCGAAGTTGAAGAAAAAAAAATAGAGAGCAAAGTCGAAGAAGAGAAAGGAGAAGAAGAAGAAGAGAAGAACTCACCTGGTCCCAAACGAGCCGAAGGGAAGAGAGAGAGAGAGAGACAGAGAGAGAAGAGAGAGAGACAACAAGCTTTCAAGCAAATACGAATGGAGATTAGGGCATTTCAATCGATTTGGGACTGGGTACTCTCGTATATAGCTCAGAGTTGTAATCCTCTGTAATTCGAGCCTTTAAAGCACGATTTGAGCCATTAGATTCATTTAGAGATCCAAAAACAAAAGTCGCACCTAGGCATGCGACTTGTGCCTGTTCTCGCCTTGACAAGTCATGCATAAGGTGCACTCCTCTTTCAAGTCGCGTTGCCTTGGGTACCTGCAGGCACAATTGTTGTGCCTCGCTACGCCTTGCGCCTAGGCGCACCTTTCACAACACTACTCAGCGAGTACTCTACTATCAACTAAAATCAAATTAACAAATTTTAACACTCATGCCAGTGCTCTAGCATCAATTACAAACAAAAAAGAATTTTAGCACACTAGGCAATGCTATGCACAGTATAGCTCCTTAATGAGAACATTATATATACATAAACGAGTAAAAAGCACACCCGCTAGTAGCTCATGGGAACTAAAAAAAATTATACCTTCGCTTGTATCAGAAGAATAAGAAATTGAGGACCCACAGCAATCTACGTTACACGGACTCTGGTGCGGGTACATATCTAGGGGTCAGGCACTTCAAAACTAAAAATTAAGGATACGTGGATATAGATCTAAACGGGGATACGGGTACGGGGATACGTTAAATATTTAATTTTTTAAATATATTTATTATATAAAGATAAGTTAAATAGTTATTTTTTAAATATATTTATTATTTTTATCTTATGTATTACTTTTATTGATAATTTTTTTAATTTATCTATATAATTTATTTTTTTACTTTTAATTGACATATATATTATAAATAACAAAAATATAATAAATAAGGAATAACAAATTATGTTAAAATAAATATAAAATAGATAATGTATTTTATAGATTTTATTAATTTTATAATATATATTATTTAATTAGATTTATTATTATATAATTGATAGGTGGATGGTAGCTTTTTTGACTTTTGATTGGTAGGTGAAAAGGTGATAGTTTATTAACTTGTTGGTTGGTGACAACTTTCAAGATGGTAGAAAAGGAGTTGTTCTCAATATATTATTTATGATATAATTTATATTATATATTATTTATGATAAATTATATTATATATGATAGGCACCAATTAAAAAGAAAAGAGAAGAGAAGACGGTCAAGAGAGAAGAATACGGAGAGAAGGGAGAGAAGAAAACAGAGAGAAGGGAGAGACGAAGTTGATTGAAACAGAGAGATGAAGATGATCGAGAGCAAGAAAAGAGACAAACTAAGAGAACAATCGAGAATGAGAGTGAGAGAGAGAAGACAGATCGAGAGAAGAAGATCGAAGCCCTAATCGCAGGTATGCCATCTTTCTTCTTACTTCCATATGCCGTATCCACTTCTTCCATGCCGTATCCTGGCCGGATTCCATACTTGTACCCGTGTCATGTCGTATCGACACAAGTACTTCGCCAAAACTGACGAGTCCGTGTAACGTAGACGACAATGCTTTGCAACCAATCAAAAGCAAACAAAGAAATAAAGCACACCCGCCAGTACTCTGCTATCAACAAAAATCAAATTAACAAATTTTAGCACACTCGTGCCAGAGCTCTGGCATCAATTACAAACAAAAAAGAATTTTAGTACACCCAGCAGTGCTCTACACAGTATAGCTCCTTAATGAGAACACTATATATACATAAAAGAGTAAAAAACACACCCGCTAGTAGCTCATAGGAACTAAAAAAATTACACCTTTGCTTGTATCAGAAGAATAAGAAATTGAGGACCTACGGCAAAAGACAACAACAAATGAAGATGTGAGTTAGTACATGGCACTTGAAGCTAGTAAAATGATTTTTAATATAAATGTGAAGAAAAATCGTAGCTTGGAAACTTAAGAGCAAATTATAGACTTCAAAGCAAATAAATATACTTAATTATGATTTTTGAAATGATCGTAGGGGCCATGGTTAACCCTGGCCACTCCTTGTGTCCGCCGGTCACTTGAATAATGTAATGAGTAATGTTTATCTCCTTTCTAGTTTGATGGAAATCTTTGATAAGGAATGCCCTGGTGTTAGTTTTGGAGGATTTGTTTATGTAACATTCAAAAGTAGATTTTAAAGGGAGTACATTAAGTTCTTTCAAAAGTTTAATAATTAAAAAAAAAAAAATCTATTTGTCAAAAATTAGAAGCTGTAATTATAGTTCACATTCCCTTTTTCTCAGCTAGTACTGAACAAAGCAAACATATAGGACCAATATAGTAATAGTTCATAAAATATGTTTCCAAATTCCGATTTCTATAAGGCTTGTCGTTTCTAGGGTAATTCTTTTAGTGAATAAACATAATTGCCCGAGTCAAGTTTCCTCATTGAATCTTGGGACATTTTTTTTTTTCCATTCATAGTCATTTGACTTGGCAAAAGCTAGGAGTATATTGGCAATAAGAGAGCAGTCTCATATCACAAACCCACCTAACCTTGCACTCACCCACCTTGCTAATATGTGTGCACACATGCAAGCTAGAATAACCATAGAACTCTTGAACAAAAACAAAACCAAAACCAAAACCAAAATAGAATATCCATTTGCAAAATCGTAAATCCCTTAGAATGAAAATAAGCATCAACCAAAAAGATTGGAAACAAAATGATGAAGTTGAGGTTTGGATTTCAAGAAAATAAACTTGGAATACAAAATTTAGGAACGGAAAAAAAGAAAAAAAGAAAAAAAAAAAAAAACGAAATGGTGAAAGTAAAAAAATCAATGCAAGTTTAAGAACAAAACATATGGAGTCATTCTTGAAGTACATCAAAATATTCAAACAATTAAACAAAATCTACAAACACTCTACAAGTTGATGAAAACACAAAACCACATGTACTATTCTTAAGGGTAAAACACTTGATATAAAATTCCATCAACAAATAGCACTTTAAATAAAAATCAAAACCAAAATGTCTCTATCTCATATGTTCATCTATTTTATATAGAGTTCATGTTCTCTATGTAATTATGTGGCCACCTGTTCCTTGGGACAACACTATGGAAAATTTACAATCTACTCAAAACAGTAAAGGGTGTTGGCTATTGTTATTCCGAATTTGGATAGTGGTGTTTATGGTGGGTTCAACCAGAGAAAGAACCAAAATAATGGGGATGGTGTCTTACTTCAAGTATTCTCAAAACGAAACCCAACAATAATTTTATTAAAATTATGAAGTAATAGAATGTAACCAGTAAAGGCAACAAATTAATTTAATATCTAATTTGACATAAAATTGAGTTTGGCATAAGAATCTCATAAAATCCATCAAAATACAATAATTACATAAGGTTATTTGTACACAAATTTCAACCAAAACTAACTTGAGCATGATACCCAATTCAAGGTAATACAGTATCTCACAATAAAAAATAATAATTGCATATGATCATATTCTTTCTTTCTTTCCTTTTTTTTTTTTTTTTTTTTTTTTTTTTTTTTTGATCAGCAAACAAGAGAGCACTTTATTAATGATAAAAGAGAAGTAACAACAAAACCAAAAGTAGGAGCAAAAATTGCATCATAGCAAATCCATCTCGTCCCAACTAGGTTGAAAGAAAGCAAAATCATGTGCAAGCTCCACCAAGAGAAAACAAAGTGATTCGCAAGAGATCAACTACAGCAAGAGGAAGGAAAGAAAAAAAACAAAAAACAAAACAAAACCATACTCCCACAGCCCAACACCAAACCCCAACGACACCAAACTGCCATAAGGCATCTCGAAAGCCAAGTAAACAAAGGCAATAGATCAACATGGGGCCAAGATGAATGACAACAAGACAGCAGCAGCAGCAGCAACAAGAAACCAATGTGATGATCAACCTCACAGCATCTTCAAGCAATATTTAATCTCAGCAGCAAACATTAAGGCACCAAAAATTCAATCTCAGCACTAAAAGCATTCAGTTCACAGCTTCATGTTCTTTATGTCTCCTTTTTTCATTTTCCATTTTCTGTACACGAGCATGGATGATTTTGGCTCTTCTTAGCTGAAGGTAGCTTTTTATTTTTATTTTTTATTTATATTTCTATCCAACAACAAAGGAGATGACAAAGGAAGCTATACATAAAAAGATCAAGTCAAACTCATCAATTCAGTTTTGTGCGCTTTTTTTTTTTTTCACTAACAACCAAAATGAAGCATTAATAACCAAAGCAACAATCATATATGAAAATTCCTAGAACCTCAATACAAAAAGCAAATTCATGGAAATAATTATAACATTAGAATAAGATTTTTAATCATAGATACAATACAAACATAAAATAGAAGGGCATAGACATAAAGAGAGAGAGAGACCTCTGTTCGGAATTGTCAAAACCAGAGCTGGAATCAGAGAAATCAACCAGAACAATGGTGTGGTTGGAGCTGTAAAGGTCCTTGCTGGTGACATCTAGGGTTTGATCATCGATACATTTGAACCTCAAATGGAACTCGACGGAGCAAAACTCACACTGGCCATCGCAGTCCCTGCCTGGAGAAGTGCATGCTCATTGCTCGGTTGCTGGTGAGTGAGATGAGACCTAGGCAGTGAGAGCAGCAAATGGAGGACTAGTGGAGTGAGAGCAGACGGATAGCGAGAGCAATGGAGTGAGAGATGAAAGAGTGAGAGACCTTAACGAGTTAACCCAGTTGCCTATATTCAACTATTAAACAATTGAATGGTTGGGATCAAATTTAAGTAATCTTAGGGGTTAGAATTAATTTTATATTTAAACTATTCGATTTAATATCAATTTTACCTCTACCATAACTAAACAGAAGTTGTTGATGTGACACTATTTGAAATTTCATTTCTAATTGATATTTTAAAAAAAGTTTGGGAGGCAAAATAAAATTTTAAATGAAATTTGGGGGTCACATTATCAATTTCTGTTTGATTATAAACAAAAGCTAACAATGGAGGTAAAATTGATCTAAAATCAAATAATTTAAATATAAAATTAATAATTATTAAAAGAATATAAATTGAATTGATTTTTTAGTGATAAATAGGTAAAATGATATTTTCCCGTAATGATTTGTATTTCACAAGGTTGTAGATGACATCAATTAATGAGAGTTCAAATATCATACAGTTGGTACTAATTAGACTACAAAATTACATAAATGAGTTGTTCACTTATTTCATTTACATTTAAGTAAGATGGTATTACCTTGCAATTACCATTTGTTAAGCTTCTAATTTTGATCAAAACAATAATGTGGTCTATAGTTTCTGACACTAACATTTCGTTTATTTTGGTGAAAATGTAAGAGGCACTTATTAGTGCTTTAATGGAATAAGGCTATCTGAAATGTAAGAGACACTTAGCCTCCGTTTGGGAAGTGGGTTGGCTTTTTGGCTTTTTGGCTATTTTAGCCTGGGGCTAAAAAGCCTGGTTGGGGAAGGACTTTTTAACTTTTTGGCTTTTTTGACTTTTTTTGTGAGAGATGAGTGTAATGATTATGGGTTGAATTTGATGTTTTGTTTTTTGTGGCTAAAATAGCCTATTCTGTTTTTTGTGGATATTTTAGCTCCTAACCCACCAAAACCAACTTCCCAAACTATGCTTACTAGTGCTTTAATGGTTTAATGTTATTTTTAGTCATCAAAATTATGGACGAAATCAAAATTTTATCATCGGATTGAAATTTTATCATCGAAAGAGTTAAAAAATGAATAAAAAATATATAAAGAAGTGCATTCAAATATTCCATCTGAGCATCAAAAGAAAAATGTTGACAGAAAAAATACAGTTAAAGAAGTTAACAATTATCGTGTTGTTTGATTGAATTCTTTTCCCTCTCTCCAAACAGAAAATTTGCAAACCTAATATATCTTGCCATACGTGATTGCCATAGTTTTTATGCTTGCTCCCTTCTTCCTCCTTGTAAGTTATCTAACGACCAAGATAAAAAGCTCCTAGAAGAAAACTAAGGGCCAACAAATTGAATACCACCACTCTACCATCACCGCTGCAACTCAGCCACCATCATCTAATGTTATTTGTACTTTGATTAACAAGGAAAAGAAAGAAATTTGAACATAAATAATTAATAACACAATGGTACACCTTCAAAATAAAATACAACTTCACCTAATCCAAATCAATGCTACAAAGAAGCCTTTACTACCACAAACAAAATAGAACACCAAAAAAAAAAAATCAAAACAGTAGCTGAATTTCATAATTCAATTGGCAAGTAACCAAAATAATATCAGAAAACAAGAAATTAAATCACAATTGGCAAAGGCCCAAAGTCAACTTATTCGTAAGTGATACTTAACTTTTGTGATTCTATCACAATCAAGTGGGTAATCGATTCAGCCACCACAGTAGAGTGTAACTTTTTCACAAATCTTATTTGTATAGTGAATTTTCTACAATTCACTTTGATGACCTTTGTTTCATATTACACAAGTAAATCAAAATTTTGTTTCTCTTTTCATCTTTTTCCCCATTTTCTAAGCAACCAAAAGAGCGTAAAAGGAATCTGCACACCAAATTCGATTCCTCCAAAGATACTGAAATTAGTAGTACTTGTTAGAGATTCAAAGCAAATAAAGAAAAGAAAAATACCTAACCTTTATGTTAGAGTGAATAGGGGACTCAAGCAATTACATTGAATTGAAACAGGGGGCTCATGATGCACAGAAACCGCCGAATGAAAATGAACACTAATTTAAACATTTACAAAATTCATAGATGCATTTCAACATTTACAAATTTTCCATTAAATGCACCTCCAACAAAGGGAAAAAGGAAACAAATTCCACTAACTAGGAAACTCAACAAAGAAGGAGAAGGGGGTAGAAAACTTTTGTCAAAAAAAAAAAAATGTCGCAATGTGTAACTTTAGCATGTATATAATGCTACTGACTTCAATTTCCCTTACTCTGCCACTAATTACACCACAGTTCCTCCTGGCTTTGATAATCTCCTCTTTTGGTGAAAAATAAAAGAAATTGGAAAAACAAATAAAATTGTAATTATATTCTAAAGTCATCAATAATTACCTTAAATACTATTCTCATATCAATTTTACATCTCACAATGTTAAATGGAATGATCCAATCGTCTACAGCCAACCCAAATATCTATATTCTGAAATTGTAAAATTGGTGAGATTTTGTTTTTCCCCCTGAACTTTCTACATTTTAATAAATTAATACAAATGAACTAGAACAATGGCATATTTCTTGTCAATATTAGTATGAGTACTTAACTTAGGAAATTCCGCTCTCCATCTTCAAAGAATTGTTATATTTTTTCTGACTCCATGACAAGTTCCCTATTACCAAAGACAGATGCTGATTTGTTTTCTTTATTTTTTTTTTTTTTTTGGAAGGGGTGGTTGGGGGACTACATCCGACACAAATCTATGATTAAAGTCAACATTACTCCTTCAACTGTATTCAATTTTATTTTTCTTCTTTACCTTAGTTCATATCCTCATGGCTTCAATTTTTGTCCATTTTTATGTATGCACGTGTGTGTATTAAAGTTCACTATCTTCTCAATAGAAGGAAAAAAATGTAGCTATCTAATTGTTGATTAAAAAAAAAGAAAATTAGAAGGAAAAAAAAAAGAAACAGAAAAAGAAAAATTAAGCTTTGGTTTATATACTTCTTGTTGTTCAAAAAGATTGAAGCGAAAATATGGTTCCAAACTACAACAAATACAAGCAAAGAAATAAAGTGGCACACCCGCCAGTGCCATGCTTTCAATTAAAAGAGAGCAAATACTAGCAAACAAATAAATTGACACACCCGCCAGTGCCCTGCTATCAATTAAAAGAAAGCAAATAAATAACTTGGCACACCCGCCAGTGCCCTGCTATAAATTAAAAGAAAGCAAAGAAATAAAGTGGCACACCCACCAGTGCCCTGCTATCAATTGAAAGAAATAAAATACTACCAAATAAATAAATTGGCACACCTGCCAGTGCCCTGCTATCAATTAGAAAGCAAAGGAACACACATAAATTAGCACACCCGTCAGTGCTACTGCTAGGAGGGGGGAAGGTATACCTTTACTTCTATTTAAAGATGGTGAAATTGGGGACCTGCGACAAAAGAAAACAGAACATGAAAATGAGTTAGAAAATAAGACAATGCTTAAGGAAATTTAAGATTTTGGGGAGAAAGGGTATAATATATGTACGACGAATGTCATTTTGCATATATCCTTTCACATTAACAAACCATCTACACAAACAGACAAATATAATCATTTAGCTCTTGAAATAATACATTTACTTTCATCATATATTGCAAAACTGCATATAAATCCAATCCAAGATTACTTGGAGCTACAAATTTTCTATAGATTGAATATAAACAGATAATTTAATATTTTTTAAACATATATTCCACAATCATTGCCACTAGATCTGCAATTACATTAAAGTCCCCATGTTTTGAAAAATATGTTTTAAGTTTTAACTAGGGCTAAAAAAATAGACCATAACCTCTTCCAATTCCTAGAATAGAAAGCAGACTTTCTGTTGGGGAATGACCATATTATATAAACCCAACTATCTTTGTATTTTCCTTAAAAAACACACACACACACACAAAAAAAAAAAATTTGTCTTTGTATTTCTACGTCATTTTCGGTTTTAGTCCAAGAAATAAACAAAACACTATCAGCACTATGAATTGCGGAGCTGTTTTCGTTGATAAGGTTTTCAAAAGGGCAATGTTGGAAAATGAAACGAGTAATGCCATGTAAGTATAAAATTCATACATAAAATTTATTCTGAATGATATGATTGCTCAAGCATGTTGTTTTCCATTGTTTTTGTGACAAATTTTGTATAACAATTATGTTTAAATGTGTGCATTTAATAATTGAAAATGGAAGATCTAAAGTCTCCCCCATGTGAAATTGCACTTGTAAACCCTGCAAAACCCAGATTATAGCAAATATTATTGCACCTCTAAAGTCTTTAAACAAACTAAACACTAAAAGAATTTCCCACTTATGCTTGATTTCATGAAATGAACAAAATGCACATGTGTTTGTTAAGGTTGTATGCCGAATGAGTGATCATAGTTTGTCACCAGGTAAGTGTTGTTAACCAAGGGGAAAAAACACTCAATATGGCTGTGTGCCTAATGAGTATGTAATTATGTTCACACAAAAGAACACGCGACACAAAGCACTCACAAAAATATATTCAACACAACAATGTTTACAGTAAAATCATAAAATTCAAGCAAATCAAATAATCCAAATCCTTGACAATGAAATTATTAAACAAATACCTCCAGTAATACCATTTTAGAATTTTTATTGAGCGAAAATAATTTAAAACCATTATAATTAAAAAGAAAACTCAAAAGAAACCTAATCAGTGCACGCATTGCTTGCATATATCCAATGATTGGTTACAAAAGAAGAATGAAAAAGATTTTAAAGTTATTACATTTCACATAAACATTGATCTGTAGAAATGAATGTAGGAAATAAAAAATTAACGTGAAGCACAATGCTTTCCCCAACCAATGTGCTAGGTTTTGAATGAGCTAAAATTCAAAAAAATTCAGTAAGATATATTTGATCATTGGATATCCAAGATATATTTGATCTATTTCAGTGAGCTAGATTTTAACCATTTTTGGTACCCAAAATAATTTGAAAGATCTCATGCTTAACACTACTTTACCAAAAAGTTTTACTTATCTTCTTTCTATTAAGAAAAGGGCAGCACATTCAAATTCCTCTCCAAATTTGTTGATCCAAAAAAAAAAAAAAACTAACGCATTTTTATGAACATCTTAAATGCAATCAAAATTCAAAGAATAGCTTGAAAAAAATCGTTTAAAATCCAATTTGGAATAGTTTCGAACAGTCTCTCATTCTTCGGATTATCTTAACAACGATCAAAAAATCGTTTAGAACAGTTTGGAACAGCTTAAATCCAATCAAATTCAAGCATCTTAAACACTATAGAGAAAAATAGTTTAAAATTGTTGCCAAGTTTGGAAAAAAAAAAACCCTCAAGTTGTAGTTTCACTAGCCCAATGTTCAAAATTCTGAGACAATCCAAAGAATGAGAGACAAAATTGGATAAAAATCAAAGCAAATAGAGTTTTCCAACAGCAAAAAATGAAGGGGCCATTTCCCTAAATAAGCTAAAATAGTAAATCAATTCCCAAACTAAGCCTAGTTTTCAAAGAATTCCCAGAATAAGCTAACTCGCGGTTCATAATCGCGATTTCAACATTTTTCCGCCTGTCCCGGGTGAAAGTTGGGAAATCTTAAATTCGTGGTTACAAAAAGCGCTTTTGATTAATAAATCGTGGTTATAAAACGCGATTTTAATTAACTTTTCTTTCCTTTGAACTCGCTGTTACAAACCACGAGTTCATCGAAAAAAATTATGTTCTGAATTCGCTGTTCGCAACCCCGCTTTTGTTGAAAAAAATTTTTGTTCTGAACTCGCTATTTGTAACCACGATTTTATTCGAACTCGCTTTTCCAAACCACGATTTTAGCAAAACTTTTTTGTTCTGAGCTCGCTTTTTATAACCGCAATTTTTGCCCAAATTTTTTGCCATTAAGTGAACTCGTGGTTCACAACCACGATTTTAAAACTTGTATATAATCTCCCCCCAGCCCCGTGCTTTGCATTCACGCTTACTCCTCTCTGCTGTCTCCCTCTCCCTCTGTTGTCTCTCTCTCGCTCCCTCTCCCTCTGCTGTCTCTCTCTCGCTCTAACTCCTCTCTCTGTCACTGTGCTCCCTGCTCTCTCTCTCTGTCGAGCTCCCTCTGCTTCAGTACCGTCTCTCTCTCGTTGGTGTGGCTTCTATCTTCTACTTTACATATTTGTGAATATATTTGTATTTGTGAAAATGTGAATAAATTAGGGTTAGGGTTCATGAATGTGGGGTTAGGGTTAGGGTTAGGGTTTATATTTGTGAATAAAATGTGAATAAATTAGGGTTAGGGTTTATGTTTGTGAATAAAATGTGAATAAATTAGGTTGGGGTTCATGAATGTGGGGTTTGGGTTAGGGTTTATATTTGTGAATAAAATGTTGTGAAATCAAAAATAATAAATTAGGGTTAGGGTCTATATTTGTGAAATTTTAACTATAGATAATTTGTTGAATGTGAATGTTGAATGTGTTGAATTTTAATTACAGAGAATTTGTTGAATGTGTTTAATTATAGATAATTTGTTGAATTTTAATTATAGATAATCTGTTGAATGTGAAATCTTTTGCTATAGATTAGGGTTAGGGTTAGGGTTAGGGTTTATATTTGTGAAATCTGTTTAGAAATCTGTTGAATGTGAATGTTGAATGGTTTATATTTATCTTAAATCTGTTTATAATTGTGAAATCTGTTGAATGTGAAATCAGATTTGTATTGAATGTGAAATCAGATTTCTGTTCAATGTGAGTTCTAACTTTCAATTTTTTAAGTAAGAATAAGAAATTGAAAAGTAAGGAACAAAATTTGTGATAAGAAATTGCTATGGAAGTTTTCTCGTCATTTTGGCCAGGAACAAATATATATATATTTTTTGGAGATACGGATATGGCAAAATAGAAAAGTCAGATAATTGAATTTCATGTCGGTGTAGGCCTTCTTTCGTTTTCTTGTTAAATTTTTTTAAAGAGTGATTGTGATTGTTAATATTTTGTATGGGTAACCCTTTAAGTAGTACACTAAATTTTTTTTTAAAGAAAGAAAATTTTAAAATATGCCATTGATGCCACATGCCCCTACGATAAGAAAAATTGGTTTGACTAAATTTATGCACTAAATTCAAATCTAATCGTGGTTAAATATAAAAAGTATAGTTTACTTGAATTTCATGCCCCATTTAGGGTTGAATTTCATTTTCGAGTTTTTCCTCCTTAAATTTCATGACATTCCCTTTTATAATGTGGAACTTATTTGCAGGATGACTTTTGTGTAAAGCATGAACAAAAATTGAAGGAAGCTAAGAGGATGTTGAGGAAAGTAGGAGAAAACCCATTAGAAGGTTTGGTCATGATCGATAACCTCCAACGCCTAGGCATCGATTACCATTTCCAAGAAGAGATTGAAGCACTTCTACAAAGCCAATATACGAAATCCAACGCTACTACGCTTGGTTATGACCTTTATGAAGTTTCTACTCGCTTTCGTCTACTAAGGCAAGAAGGGTACAATGTGCCCGCGGGTATGTGAATTTTCATTATTTTTTCACTACCCAACTTCATTTTTTTGAATTCTTTTTTATCAGTAATATTTGTGCTTGAAATAAGTGTAAATGAATGGGAAATTGGTAATGGAACAGATGTGTTTAACAACTTTAAGGCTAAGAACGGAAAGTTCAAACCAGAACTAAATGCAGATATGAGAGGGTTGATGAGTTTGTATGAAGCTTCACAGCTAAGCATAGAAGGAGAAGACATTCTTGATCAAGCCGCAGACTTTAGTACCCGAGTCCTTAACGGTTTGATGCCACATCTTTCTCATCATCAAGCTCGAGTTGTCAGCAACACACTGGGAAATCCCCATCACAAGAGCCTAGCAAGGTTCATGGCAAGAGATTTCCTTAGTGATTACACGAACCCAAGTGAATGGGAAAATGTCTTGCAAGAACTGGCGAAAATGGATTTTAACATGGTTCAATTCACACACCAAAAAGAAATACTTCAAGTATCAAAGTAAGATTTTGTTTTTAATTTAGTGCAGAGAATATTGTGAGTCTAATTTTGTTCACTCACTTAACAAGTAGATAAAGAAAACTCTCTTACCTAATTAGTTATAATAGTGGGAATTATTACCTCAACTAGGACCCACCTCACCTTTTTTTAACTCGTGTTAAGTGAATGAACAAAATTGTTTTCAATGACAGGCATGTTAAGTTTGTTCAAATACGAAGATTCTTCTGCTTTAATTTGTAGTTTTGTGATCTCAGGTGGTGGAAAGACACGGGTTTGGCGAGTGAACTGAAGTTCGCTAGAGACCAACCTCTAAAATGGTACATGTGGCCTATGGCAGCCCTCACAGATCCAAGGTTCTCAGAGCAAAGAGTTGACCTCACAAAACCCTAGTAATTTAAAAGGCTGACCTCTGATGCTCGAAACTACGTAGAATCAAGTTATGGTTCTTCAAGCTTAAAGAAGGCTTTTTGAGAGAGAGATGGGAAACCCACAATTAGTCATTTTTTGATTGTTTAAGAAAGAATTTAAAACTTGGTTTTGACTTGTTTAGTCATTAAAAAATCATTTTTGTAAGAAACTCTCACCTTGTTTGAAAAATACTAAAAAAATATTTTTGAAGTATTGACTTTTTTCTTTAATGAATTTTTTATTTTTTAGGATTTTATTTTGAACGGATTTAAAAAGTAAAATGAAGTAAAAATAAAATAAAAATCTACTAAAAAAATAATAAAATCGCACTTTTAGCATTGATAAGACGCATCAATTTTTTAAGTAGTAATTTTATCTTATAAAAATTAAAATTAAAATATATACTTTTAAAATTATAATTTTTCTAAAAGTGCAAGTCTGTTTGTATTTGGTACAAGTGAAAGTATAATTCTGATAGTAGCCAACAATTCTATCATTCAAAAATGATTAAGAATGAAACAAGGGGAATGGTTTGAGTTGTAACTTGTAAGATTGCATTTCAAAGTTAAAAAACTCAGCAAGGCCAAGTTTGATTGAAATCTAATTTAAAAGAACCTACATACAAAAAGTGAAAATATTAGAAGGTTGCTACATGATGTGATGAGAAAAGAAACAAAAAAGAGTCATGACATTTAAGAAAACTGAACAACTTAGCAAAGCTTTAGAACTCAATACAGCAACAAGGGTAAAGCTTTTGAAGTGATGCTTCTTTCTACACATGGCTTAAGCTTTTGAAACCACGTAAAAGAGTGTTGCAATATGGATATGACTCTTTTGATACCTCCAAAAGAGTTAATTCAAGTTTATGAGCAAAACAATGAACATAATACGCACTTTCATGTTAGAACACTAGAAGAAACAATAAATTTGCTTAATACCCAAAAAATGCTCAATCACATATCCCCTACTTTCCACATACTAAAAGAAACAATAAATTGCTCCTCCATCGATGCATCCCAAGATTTATCAAAGACAATAGAGAACATGCTGTCACCAAGTTCTCTAACAATGGCATTGGTAGTTTCAACTGCAATGGCGTTAAGAATATCCTTTTGAATACTAGGTGTTGTCAACTTAAGGTGTTCAGGAACATCTTTTGACAAAACAGCTCTGAGATTCTCATTTTGATCTAAAAGAAGTATCAAAAGCTAAAGAAAGTTTCCTTGGTTGCTTGAATCTTCAAATTCATCATGCCCATGTAATGGAATCCCTTGTCGCAAAAGAAATCGAAAGCAATTAATTGATGCAGTCAATTGAACTCTATAATCACTCTTGGCTTCATCAAGTAGCTTGGAGAACACTGTTTCAATATGTTGCTTTGTCTTCTTTTTTTTCTTTTTTTGATAAATGTTTCAATATGTTGCTTTTGATTCAGTAAGTACTGACATTTTCTCCAAGCTTGATTGTGAGAGCTGTTAACACCTCCCACGTGACCTTGCAACCTTTCGTTCTTCTTCCAACTTGAAAACCCATCAACAACAAAAGACTTACCACCTCCTTGTCTCCTATGACGGGTTTAAAAAGGTAACAACAAAGGCAAAATGCAGCATCTTTAGCTATGTTATACTCCAACCTACTACCAAATTCAGCAAACCATGAAAGGTTAAACCTTCTTGATGATTGCCCGATTTTCCTTCGTGGAAAATTATGATTACGAGGTTGACAAGGGCCTTTTAATAAGTACACCCTATGAACATGTTCTCTAATGCTACGATGATAATTCGTAATCTGGGGTCATAGTCCCGGATCTTCAAGAAGGTCTAGCAAGTTGATTTCTATACGACTCTGTTTTGGAGACTCGTCATGAATTGGTGAAGATGATGATTCTATGCTTGATTTTCTTTTATAATATCGCTCCGTAACTATTTTAAAAACCCAAAAAAAACACAATAACAACAGATAGCCTATTTTAGGCGGTAGTGTGTTTCAATGAATTGTTAGCAAAACTGGAAAAAAAAAAAAATACTTTGAACCAAATATAAACATACTTTAACAGAAAACATCAAGTTCAACTTTTCCTTTTTTTATATATATATAAAAAAAAATTGAATCCCAACTAAAATTTTACAACAAATATTGAAGACCTTGAAGTAAAAACTAACACAATCAGTATGAAAGTTGGGAAAATTGACCTCGGATGCTCGAAACTACGTAGAATCAAGTTATGGTTCTTCAAGCTTAAAGAAGGCTTTTTGAGAGAGAGATGGGAAACCCACAATTAGTCATTTTTTGATTGTTTAAGATAGAATTTAAAAGTTTGGTTTTGGCTTGTTTAGTCATTAAAAAATCATTTTTGTAAGAAACTCTCACCTTGTTTGAAAAATACTAAAAAAATATTTTTGAAGTATTGACTTTTTTCTTTAATGAATTTTTTATTTTTTAGGATTTTATTTTGAACGGATTTAAAAAGTAAAATGAAGTAAAAATAAAATAAAAATCTACTAAAAAAATAATAAAATCGCACTTTTAGCATTGATAAGACGCATCAATTTTTTAAGTAGTAATTTTATCTTATAAAAATTAAAATTAAAAGATATACTTTTAAAATTATAATTTTTCTAAAAGTGCAAATCTGTTTGTATTTGGTACAAGTGAAAGGATAATTCTGATAAGAGGACTACAACTCAAACTAAAATAATAGCCCAGAGTGTAGTATTGACGAAGTAGCTCATATCAAAATCCTTGCAACAACCAAAGGCTTGTGACTCACAGCCTATGAAGTACGAGTACTCCAAAAATGGTGTCGTACGAGTACCGGGTACTTACCAGGTGCGGGTACGCTTACCGGTACGGCGATACGTGTACCAGGTACGCCGAATACATGCCGAGTACCGCAAATACTTGTGGGTACGTCGTGGGTATATCGTGGGTACGACATCCGTACTGCACCGGTACGGCAAAATGATTTTTTTTGCAGATGTTAGAATTTATTGTAGCCTTTATTATTCTTCTTTCAATTTTGAAAATATCAAGTAATTTATTTCCAACACCCTTTACCCATGAGTCATGGTTTTGCTCTCTTTTGTATCATGTTTTAGACAATCAAAAAAGAAAAAGAAATAATTATATAACTTTTTAGACAAATTGTTCTCTTTTTAGTTTTGATATTGAAACTTTGATTTGTATGTTGGATGTTTAGCTATAAATTTTTTTTAAAAAAAGTAAAAAAAAATTGACGTACCCCAGCCATACCCGTACCCTACTTTTTTAAGAATTTGTCGTATCGGCGTACCCGTTCCCGTATCTGTACCCGCACCCGTGCTTCATAGCTCACAGCTCAGTGAAGATAGCAGCACCATCATGATGCGTAACTGTGCGACTGATATGGCAGTTACTTAGTTAGTTAGAGAGTTTGTTAGGCTGTTAGATTGTATATGTATGTATAGTTGGTTAGAATAGCAGAGATAGGTGATTGTATAAAAAGACCTTTGTAATTGAGATACGAAGAAATGGAAATGAAATAAAGAATTTCATCATGGTATCAGAGCTTTCAAGCTCAAGCGCGCAAGATTCTCCCATGGCGAAACCTTCTTCCTCAGCTTCAATCCCTACCAATTTCAGTCTACTCATATCAAATCTTAGTTCATCCAATTTTCCTATATGGAAAATCCAAATCCAGAATGTGCCTCATGTAACAAGTTTGCTTGCTTATGTAACTAGATCAATTGCTTGTCCTGCTTGAAAAGTTATTGATTCCACTAGAACGTCATAATTGAATCCAGATTTAACTCAACGGGAGGTAATTGATGCACATCTTCTGAGTTGTTTAGTTGTAACTCTATCTCCTTCAGTTTACTCCTCTGTTCTTCATCATACTCATTGCTTTCAAGTATGGCAAGCTCTTGAAAAATGATTCACCTCATTGTCAAGATCACACATTCATCAGTTCAAGACAAAATTGCAATCAATTACTAAAAAGTCTCTCTTTATGGAAGAATATCTTGCTCAGATCAAAACAATTTCAGATCAGTTGGTTCTTGCATCTGCAAGTACTCATGATGAAGATATGATTCTTATCATTCTCAATGGCTTGCCTGAAGAATACGATGTCCTCAAAACAGCAATTAGAGCACGATCTGAGTCTTTGTTGATGGAAGAGTTGTGTTTTCTGTTATGTTCTGAAGCAATTCATGTTGAACAAAACTCAAACATGTTGATGATCATACTCTTACTGTTGCCTATGCAGCATCAAAAGGTTCACATCCTAATTCTTCATCTGCCTTTGGTTCTTCATCCAATTTTTCCTCAAATTTGTACCGTGGATCTTACTCTCGTGGCAGAGGTTCATATAGAGGCAGAGGTCGATTTTATAATCGTAACAATGAAAATCGTGATTCTCGATTCTTTAATCGAAAAAACAACATAAATAGATCATAGTTCAATTCCACTGGTTGTCAGATTTGTGGCAAACCAAGCCACACTGCTACTGATTGCTGGCATCATATGGATGCATCTTTCCAACCACTGTCTTTCTCATCTCTAATTCCAACTAATCCCTCAAACTCAAGAGCCTATGCAGCAACAATTCTTTCATCTTCTTACAATTCTTCACCACCTCGTTCTTCCTGTGCCCTGGTACATTGACTCTGCTGCTACAAATCATCTCACGAATGATATCTCAAATTTCCATCTCTCACAGCCTTATCAAGGACAGGATCAAGTGACTGTTTGTAATGGTTCCTCTTTGCCCATTCATCATGTTGGCACAGGTCTTTTGCCTACTCTTGCCTGTTCTTTTACTTGGAACAATTTGTTGCATGTACCTGCTATTGCTTCTAGCGGCTCACTCGTGATCATAATTGTGTTATTATTTTTTATGCTAACTCTTTTCAAATCCAGGACAAGCTTACAAACAAAATTCTTCATATTGGATCCAATGTGAATGGCTTATATCAGTTCTCTCCTTCTCTTGTTGCTTCACC